CGTGCCGCCTGACCGCAGCCTTTGCGAGCCTCGAAGCAGAGCGTCCCGCGCGAGCCGTGTCCCTGACTCACAGAAACCTGCTGGGGAAAAAAAGCCTCCCCCGCAGCCAAGCTAGCTCAAACCCACCTGTGAAAAGCCTCCGTTCTTTTAAGTTTTAGGACTTTAAAAAAGAGAATTCTTTAGTTTCTTTCAGTTCTTCAGCTGAACTTGCTGCTGCTTCTTCAAAAGCCTCATTAGCCAAGTGTCCGGGCTGGGACACACGGTGTGGCCGGATCCAGCAGGCTGCAGGGTTCGTGATCCCTCCAGTGTTGTTTTTTTTATTCCATTCAGCTTGATTAAAGTGAGTATTTTAAAAATTAAGCAACACCCACGAATTCGGTGAGACTCACGGGGCTTTAAAAGCAGTGCCTGAGTGAAAGCAGAGCACGGCAAAGCCGCTGAGGGCCGGGAGGAAATTTCATTCCAGCTTTCTGAAGATACAACGCTGACTAAATAATTTCCCCTTGTCTTTTCCAGCACTGATGGCTTAATATCATCCACCGATTGCTGGGCTTTGTAGATAAAGAGTGCCTATATGCCCGGTTTTGGAAACCTTTTAAGGCAGAATAAATGTGCGCCTATCTCTTGCTGGCAGCGGGCAGCGGCTCCACGCCTCTGCGGGCAGAGGGGTGGGCAGACCACGGGGAGGCGGCGCAAAAAGCCTTGCTGCGGCTTCCCAGTGTGACCTTGGTCACCTCTCCTGGCTCTACAGCACGCCCAGCACCCGGCTGTGAAAGGGAAGAGCTCAAGTTTTCCTCCGAAGACCCCCTCAGCGCAAACTCTGCGGCTCGGATGGGGCTTCACACCATCGTCTGCTTCCTGGGCAGGAGCGATCCCGGGGCGGGAGAGCAGGCTGGGCCGGAGAGGCCATGCTGGGTGGGTGCGGGGAGGGCTTTGCCGGCATTCCCGTGCTCCGTTAGAGGCACACAGGGTGAAAAGAGCCCCTTCAGCCCCTCCGGTGGTGCTCCTGAGCATCAGTTCCGTACGCTCTCCGCTGCGGGCAGATCTCCGCGCTTACGAGATCCTTCCTGATGCTTTGGGTTTTATGGGAAAGAAACCCCAGCGTGCTCTGAGCCTCGCTATCTCCGGGCAGAACGGGAATGAATTTCTGTTGCTCGGTCCATCCTGAGCCATCCCTTGTGGCTGTCTGTCTGTCTGTCTGCTGAGTCCCGGGAGTTTTCCTTCCTGGAGGAGCGTTTGCCAAAGGTTTGCAGCAGCTCGCTCTCTGCATCCCACCACCAGCCCGTCGTACGTCTGGCTTTGCAGATGCTCCGCTTTTATTCTTAGAAAGTCCTAAATATTTCCGCTTTCCTTCTGAATAACTCCAGTGATCGGGGGTTGCTGATCACTCTGACGAGCCTCAGCATTTGCTATGAATCCATCCTATTTAATGCTGAATATTTTTCTGAGCCTTCACTTGGCTGGGCACCCGGGTCCGTGGCAGAGGTGCTGACAGGCATCGCATTTTCCTGTTTGAACAGAAATGACATTTGAGTTGAAGCTTCATCAGGGGCTTTTTACACTGCAGATTTTCAATGCGTAAATGTTATATATGCCGGTAAATGCGCCTGTCACCTCGCCGGTTGGTGACATCCTGACATTTGCTCTCCCTGGGTATCTTCCCTTGCCGGCGATGCGGATTGATTCCTCCCGTGCATCCTCTTGCCTTGGGAAGTGACCTTAGAGCTGGGAAGTGGTGGGTTCTCATTGGACTTGCTCTTTAGTGACTGATTTCTACCCACGCTTTTTCCCCACACGGGGTTCTCTCGAGGCCCTTGAGCTGGTAGCTATCAGCAACGTGTGGGTCCTGCAGTCTAGGTCTGGGACTGAGCTTGCGGTGCTGTAACGCCGGCGCTGGTCGCAGCGTCCAGCGGCAGAGGTAGGAGAGCACCCACCTGCTCTTGGTCTTGGTGTTAAAGTGTTTGCTCCAGCTAGTGGGTTGTTGTTTGTTTGGGTTTTTAAATTTGGCATTGTAATTGTTCTTTAATACGTTAAATCAAAGTGCGTTTTACGACATGCCCTTTGCAGCTTACAAGCACACGTCTCTGGAAGAGAGTCTAGAGTGAGTCATTAATCAGAAAATGATTTGTCTTGGTGCAAAATAACCATATGCTGCTCTGAATTTTGCTGGTAGCCTCTGTTTTAATAATAGATGAAAGAAAAGCTGTATGTTTGACATGGGCTTTTCACCTGAATTCTGCAAACCAGACAAAAATCTTCTTTTCAAACAGCGAGTGAAACTTGAGAACCATTAAAGCCCAGGGGAGCCGGTGCCCCTCGCCTTACCTTAGCCAAAGCTCACGCGATGCGGCGAGTCCCGTGCGCCGAGGGAAGGGCCGGTTTTGTCCCTGGGGCCAGGTGGGCTTTCGCGGACACGCTGGCTTCCTCCCTGGTCAGAGGACGAGAACAAACTCCTAACAGCCACGTGTGCCAGTCCAACGTTCATCTTCTGGGACTGTCCCGTGGCTGTGGGCATCAGCTAAATACAGAGGAATACGTTGAGGTTATTTTGATCTTAGATACGGTTTGATCATCATCATCCTCACTAGAGCCTATCGAGAGAAGTCGGATAAAGTGTCACTGCATCAAGTGGGGAGTCGTGTATTTGGGGGCTAGAAAGTCTTCTCCACCCCGAGTGCTCCTCAGCTGCCGATGGCCGGGAGGGAGGAGAGTGGGTCTGGCTGATCACAGCGAGAGCAGAACCCTCCAGCGTGCTGCAGCCGTGGCAAAGCCAACACGGCACCGATGAGTCCTGCGGGATTTACAGCGGGAGGGAGCACTGATGCCTTTGTGCAAGGCGCCAGCAAAGCCTCCTCCAGCAGCTTGATGTCTAATCAGGTAAGATTAATTCCGGCTAGGGCAGGTGTGGAGAAAGGTTATGACTGGGAAGCAAAGAGCCTGTCTGTGAGATGGGACTGGAAGAGCTTGGTTTGTTTGGCTTTGCAAAATGAAGGCTGAGAGGAGACGTGATTTGTCCTCTGTAAATACATTGGGAAAAAGAACAGCTATAGAAGCTACTTAAAAGACAGTGCTGCCATAAGAACAAATGGATATGAGCTTGTCCTGAATAAATTCAGGCTGGAAGTTAGACTTCTAACCATCAAAGTTGGAGGGAGGGAACCACACAACTAGCTTTGAGATGGAACTTGATAATTTTCGGAAGACATTAATATCCTGTGGTTGCCTGTGGCAGCGGGAACCCGGCTGTGCGGGGAGCCTTGTGGTCCTCTTCCTTGCCTTCGCCTGGCTCTGCCTCTTCAAGAATGCTTTTGGGCAGAGCTCTTGTGTTTTCCCACGGCTGGAGAGCAAAGTCCTGGCAGTGACGTGACTGGTGGCCCTGCTGTGCTTGAGCAAAGATGCCATGAGCGGAGCGCGATGGTGCTGGAGGACCTTGCAGCAGTCCAAGTGCATCCTCAGACTAAGTCACATGAAGGTTGCACCTCAGTGTCCTGAGCTGTGAAATAACCCCATCAGGCACAGCGCAGGAGCACTGGGAGGTTCCCTGGTCCAAGTCTGCCCCATTTGTTATCTTCAAGTGTCGTCAGTTTTGATTTGTGTGCTTGCCCATCCACCTGAGTCCCGTCTGCTCAGTGTCCGTGCTGCACACCTCCTGTGCCCCACAGAAAGGGTCTGCACCCCGGGATGCTCCTGTCTTCTTTTCAGGGTTGTGGTGGTGCTCAGCACAGCAAAACCAGCTCCATTTGAGTATCTGTACAATTGTTAAGAACAGGGCTGTGTCTGGAAAGTGCCCCCATGGAGTGTGCGGGGACTTTCAGAAGCTTCTGCCTTGGACCTGTGCAAAACCAGTAACCAACGCAGATGAGGGAGAGGTCTGTGGCTGTGTAAGCTGTTGTATCACATTCCCGCTTGTTGACTTTATTCTGATACGCAAACAACCGTTAATTAATTCCTCTGGCAAACTTTCCTGATGGGAGAGATGCAGTAACAAGTCCTGCTGTGAGCGGTTGGCATATACTGTTTGATTTATAATGTTTGATAATCTAACATTTCTCCAGAAGATCCTTGACGCTCCTCCGCGTTCGTGTCTTTCGCAGGATGCTGGAGTATTCCCTGGACCTGCAGAACGTCAGCTTCTCAGCGGTCCGTACTGTCCGCGTCCTGCGGCCGCTCAGGGCCATTAACAGGGTCCCCAGTAAGTCGGATCCTTATTCTCCCCAGTTGATGCACGTTCTCTGTTTCTGTGCCCCAAAGATGGAAGAGCAAACACAGATGCTTCCCAGCTTACATTGCAGCTCAAACATTCGCCCAAGCCTGGTAGTGCTAGGTCCTACCACCTCTCCCCGGTTTCCAGAGCCTGTCATTCTCCTACTTTCAACAATATTGCTTTTGACACCTGTGGCATTGGAGATGAGCCACGAACCAATGCGATGTCCAGGACTGTCTTCAGACGCCTTTCTTTCTCATCTGAATGGGGTCTTAGGCTGCTAAGATGAAGGGATGCAGGTGATAGGGGTTGACTGAGCCAACAGCCTTTGCCAGGCGGCATGGGCAGAGGGGTCTGAGCTGTGCTGCTCCCACTCTCCCTGTGCTGCCCCATCCTTTCCTGGAGAAACCGCGGTGAAGAAATCTTGTGCCTGGAGACGGCCCACCATGAGGTGCTGAGGAGCCTCCTCTTGGAGCATCTCTTGCTCTGCTCCCCAGAGCTGGTCCATACAGCCAAAAACCCCAACATCTCCAAAGCAAGCCTGGGTGGGGTGGGAGGTGGCTAGTCACTCCTGGTGTATTAGGTCATGCATGAGGATCTCAGGCTCCCCCTTGAAGAGCAGTGGGTGGCCTTGCCTGCTCCTGCACAGCAGCAGGCGATGGCGACCCAGCCCTGTGCTCGGAGAGGCATTGGCCATCGCAAACCCAACCCACCTGCCCAGGGAGCCGCTCCTGCTGCGCCGTGCTGGGCGCAGCCCGGAGCACTGCGAGAGGCGCTGAGCTCCGTCCTTCTCGGACGCTTACAGGTCAGGTGTGTTAAGCGTAAGTACAACTGCATCAGGAACGTCATTTTCCCGGCCCTTCAATCCTGGGTATCGAATCCAGCGCTGTTTTAGCCAAATTAAGTCCAAGGCTGAACTCCCTTATCTGAACTAGCCCAATGCCTTGACGAGAACTGATCAGCTTCAGTCCTGTCTGCCGATGCTGCAGGTGCCTGGGCTCTGTTTATTTTTCTGGTCCTGACTCTTGAACTTAATCTGGCTTTGCTGCTGCTGCTGCTGTTTCAATCATTACGGTAGCTTCAAAATCCTGTTTGCAATGTTTTTTTTATCTCCACTGCTGAACTGATGGATGGCTGAATTTATCCACCACTGTCTAACTGGGGATGTAATTCACTTAATGTATTTTGAAATCCCGGGTAATTCATCTTGGCTTCTCTGCAACGTAGTTACAATGGGATAGAAATGTAAGGTGGGAAAAAAAAAAAAGAGAGTTTTGTATGATGATAAATGCAGTAACCACAGAAAGTAATTTCAGTTAATTAGGAGTTGATGCAAGGTGGTTGTTCCCCAATAGAGGAGTAGAAGAAAAACCCTGACGGAGGAGGTAACAGCATCAGGAAGAGAGAAAAAAGTCTCTTGAAGTATCAAAGTAAAGGGTGCAACAGTAAAGCTTTCTTTAAATGAAAATCAATATAAGTCAGTGAGAGAATGCAGAAGATGGGGAAAGAAGGCGAGCAAGAGATGAGCAGAATATTACAGAGACGTCAGATGAAATCAATTTTTTTGTGTGTAAATGTCAAGTTGAAGTCACCATCAATTTGTCTTCGTTACAGAACTGGATGTTCCTGAACTTGTGAGAATTAACTGCCAGAGAGAGTCCTGTATTTTAAGGAAGAGAGGGGATTTAGGGTAGATGAGGGGAATTAGGGAGGGAAGGGAATTTTCATATATACTGAGTGGGGAAAGAGCAAGGAAGAACGTCAGAGTTTGGTCTGAGGGGAGAAAGGAGATGTATAATTGCTAGAAAACTTTAGGACGAGAAGAGGACTTGAGATGGGAAGTGAAGGGAGAGGAGAAGGGAAGGTAGGTCCTGTGCCCAGGAGCAGGGCACGGATGAAAAGGGGTATCACCGGGGCTTTTTGGGGAAACCAGAGAGGACTGGGGAGCTGCGGGTGTTTGCAAGCCATGTGCGGATGATGAGAACAGTGCTTGGGAAGGCGGTGGCTGTCAGCGGAGGGAAAAGTATGGATGGAAAGGAAAAGGTCAGGAGGACATAGCTGGTATAATTCAGCATGGACCTTTCCTTTTCGCTGACGGCTTCCTCTTCGCCTCAGGTATGCGCATCCTGGTGACACTTCTTTTGGACACGCTGCCCATGCTGGGGAACGTCCTCCTCCTCTGCTTCTTCGTCTTCTTCATCTTTGGCATCGTGGGAGTCCAGCTGTGGGCAGGTTTGCTCAGGAACCGGTGCTTCCTCCCGGAGAACTTCAGCATGTAAGTCTGTGCAGGCAGCAGAAGTGTCTCTCCAGCTCGGGCGAGTCTATCCCCCCAGGACACTGGGCTATCTTCCAGTAAAAAGCTCTGGTCTTCCGTAAATGCTCCCTCCTAAATGCCACCACAACTCCTGTCCAGGCGTGCACGGCTGGAACAGAGCAAGCCAGGACAACTTGCCAGTCGAGTCTTGCAGGGCTGTCCTTAACCCTCAGCTGGCACTCGGGAACCTCTCTGATTGATAAGAGCCTCCATAAAAAACCTGCGAGTAAGAGTTCAGGCTTTCTAAATTCAGCATATCATTAACACGTGACCTTTTCTGCGCTCGTTGAGACGTTGAGGTCTGAATCCCGTGCGGGAGCTGCTGGTGTTTATTGGTATGGCATTTGTAGTCCCACCTAAACCCCAGGGGAGGCTGATGGAGCTACCATACATTTCAGGATGCTAGATCCTTTTCAGTCTCGGAGCAAGAGATAGTCCTCGTCCCAAAGTGTTATTTTTCACAGATCCCTGGATTTTAAGGCCAAGAGGACTATTGTGATCAAATGGGATTTCGTAGCACCCAGTTTCCTGGCCAGCCAGCCTGCCAGATGTAGGAATGTTTGAACAGTGGTTGAAATATCCCTCAGCTCTGGTAGCTGTCAGCCTCCTTCAGACCAGGATTTCTATACCTGTTCTCCTACTTACCTGCTTTTTTCCACCACCTCTCTCCCGTTGGATGCTAGGAGAAGGGCAGGTGGCTGCACGCCGCTTGATGGCTGCTCTGCCGAGCTCTGGCACCCTTGCCACCTTTCAGGGGGTCGCTTTCAAATGTTGACTCCCCGGGGCTGATCGGGCTAGATCCACACTTGGGTGGAGAAGTTCTGCAAGCCCAAAGCCTCTCTCTTGCATACAGCAGGACTCTGACGATGTGGTGGCGAGGCTGGCTCTTGGACTTGGCGTGATGCACCTTTTGTCCTCTCCCACACATTTCCTAATCAAGTGCCACTCCTCTTGTAGGTTGTGCCCTCAAAGGGCAGTTGGGAGAGTCATTGCCAGGGCACGTCCCTGTTAATAAGTGGCAGCGGAGCAGAGGGACCGCTTCACCACTGAGTAAATCCAACAGAGCCACAGGTTTGGGTGCCGTTTAATTGAGCCAGAATTCCAGGGGTTTAGATAAGCTTTGAAGGGTATTAAAGGCAATTCTGCAGGAATTAACCGGGCTGAACTAGGCTTAAAAATATCTTTGCGAGCTTTAGTGGGAGTCCTGGCAGCATTAAGGAGATAGCTGTGTGCAGAGCAAGAAGCCAGTTTCTGGCTGGCCGTGGGTTGTTTCATCTCCCTGAAGAGTGTTTTTGCCTGGTTTGCTGTGGTAAGGCCACCCTCAGAGGCAATTTAGAGCTTATCTGCGGGCTGAACAGGCACTGAAATGTAGATGAAGGCCCTGTCTCTGGTTTTAGGAAGCTTGGGAGGTCCTTGTACATAGAGTCTCCCCAAGCCATTGTCAGCATCTCCAGGAGGACAGGAGATACAGGAGCTTAAACTGACTGATTGCCATCTTACAGCAGCAAAGACATTTCAGAGAAGCCCTGCTGGGCTGAATCCTGTTCTTAGTCCCCTAAAGTCAAAGCCAGAGCACTTCCAGATGGAGTGACTCTTAGTAATGTCATCAGAGGGTTGCTGAGTGCATTGCCTCAGTTCTCCAAAGCCCAGTTAGGGACATCATCTCACCCGCTGGGGCTGCAGAAAGTCCAAGGGGATCCCTTTTAAAAAAAAAGCTTTAAGATCCAGAATAAAAGATGTCAGACTTCGTTGCTGTTACACTTGTTACCTTGCCAGATTGCCTGCAATCGGTGTGCAAACCCCAGCCCTGTCTGGACTCTTTCAGCCCCTACACGGTGGATTTGGAGCGATACTACCAGACAGAGAACGAAGACGAGAACCCTTTCATCTGCTCCCAGCCCCGGGAGAACGGGATGCGCTACTGCCGGAGTATCCCAACGCGGAGGGAAGAGGGTCTCGAGTGCACCCTGGATTATTATTCCTACAACGACACCACCAACACGTCTTGTGTCAATTGGAACCAGTATTACACCAACTGCTCTGCCGGGGAGCACAACCCCTTCAAGGGAGCCATCAACTTTGATAACATTGGCTATGCCTGGATCGCAATATTTCAGGTGAGCCCTGTGTGCAAACTGTCACGAGGTGGGGAACAGCCGGTCATGCCCCCCGACATGTTCCCAGGGGCTGTGTAATCGCACTCCTGGGGGCTATTTTGCATCAGCAAACACTTACAGAGTAGTGCATGGGTGCTCAGAATGTCAGGGATGACACAATTTGATGCCTTCTTCGAAGATGCTTCCATCTCACATGCATGGACAAAACCCCAGTCTCCAAACCCTCTGTGTGTACAAGACGACCATTCTGATGGGGAGCAGAGCCTAGAGACTGCTCTTGCCTCTGCAAAATGCAGTAGCGGGCCTTCGGTCCAGCTGGAAAAGAAGGGCTGGATTCAGCCTGGGCTGCTGGCAACATGGCTGTTGGTATTGGTGGGAGCAGGATTTGGCTCCTCAGTGTCTTGTACTGCACCAAGACCAGCTACGAGGTGTCAGAAATGACCCAGCCAGGAGAAATGTTGTTTGTGCAGTTGATGCTGAGCCTTGACGGGTTCATTTTCCCTTCCTGTCTCCACCAGGTCATCACACTGGAAGGCTGGGTGGACATCATGTACTTCGTCATGGACGCACACTCCTTCTACAACTTCATCTACTTCATCCTCCTGATCATCGTGAGTGGTCTTAGGGGAACATGGGAGTCCTCCTGGCATTTGGAGAGGGCAGAGTGGAGTGACCCAGAGGAACAGGGCAGATAACACAGTGAATATAAAAGCTGGTGCCGCGGAGGAGGGGTGGAGACCAGCCTGTGGGAAGACAGGCATTGCATTGCAGCTGCATTTTGTTGCAAACATGAAGGAAAGAAAGAAAGATGCACTTAAGCTATGGTAGATGCACTTCTGTTGCTGCTGCTTCTACTGCTTCTCTCCTTGTGCTCCACGGTCCTCTCCCTTAACTGCCACCCTGACTTTAAGTTTTAAAGCAGGCAAATTTCCCCCGGTCAGGTTTTGAGCTCTGGATGGGGAGGAAGCTGCCCAGAAATTCCCCCATACTGAAGAACCCAGCTGGCTGGGTCCTTGGTGCAGAGGGGACATTTCAGGAAAACAGTCCCAAACTTCAGAGAGCACATTAAGAAAGGAGGGAAGAGATTACTGCCCACAGCCCACCCACGCTTCACAGCGTCATCCGAGACCACCCACAAAGTAGCCAACGAAGAATTTCTGTGGGGTGGGCTCCATGATGGGCTTCATCTATGCAAGCAAAATTGTCTACCGTGACTGGCTGAGCTCGTTATCTGGACTCCCTTTATCGTCAAGGGAGAAAAATAGGTGCTTTAAGGGGGTGATTCATCTCCTCCAAAGGTAGACATCCAAAATAAATTAGATGCATTGCAGACTTGATGTGCCTATTTCTCTCTTGACTCTAAAGGATCATTAGGTGCCTCACTCAGATGTAGCTGAGATAAGTGAGATGAGTCCCTTTCTTGCTGTCGAATTGGACTAAGTCCAGCAAAATAGCTGCACGTCATCCATTAGGCCATTGTGGGGATTTCTGCTCCTCATCAAACCAGGACTCAAACCCTGATGAGAAGGTAGGAGGTCGTTTAGTCCATGATGCTTTTTCTGGTTCATCTATTAGCTTCCGCCCTGCAAAAGAAACAACCCCTTGCTCTCAGCATCCCCAAAGTCAACGGAGAGGAAGGGCAAGCAGTACTTTCCCAGATGCCGTGCGAGTACGTTAGCGACGTGTGATAGCCCGGTAGCGTGTCAGTAGTTCTCTGTGATCCAGGCTGGGCTCTGCAGAAGGCAGAACTTTGTGAAACCCTGGTTGGAAAAAAAATCCCCAAGCTGTGGGTACAGACTGCTGATGGCCTTGCGTAACAGTCACCCGCAAATCCCGTTAGCAGGGGAAAGGGATCTGCTCGCAAGCTGCCCACACGCTGCCAGAAAAAACGCTCCTATCAGGAAGGCTCAGTGCATTCATCGTAATGCCACTAATTGTGATAATTACAACCGCTGTCTGTGGAGGGAGAGAAACACCATCTTAAAAGAGCAAAAGCTTTTTGTCAAAATAATCTTCTCTTGTCTTTGATCTCTGACGTCGTCTGTGGAGCGCTGGCGTGGGAGGCCCCCGGGCTTGGGGGGTGAGTCAGACCCTCCCTGGTCCTGGCTGGTGGTCCCCACTGGGTGATGCAGGGGATGGGGCTGGCTGGGGTTTGCCCCCGCTCCTTGTGCCGGGGCGCAGGGTGAGGCAGGGCTATGGGGTGGGCACGGCCACCCCGAGGTGGCTGATAGCTCCTGTCCCCATAGGTGGGCTCCTTCTTCATGATCAACCTCTGCCTGGTGGTGATAGCAACGCAGTTCTCCGAGACGAAGCAGCGCGAGAGCCAGCTGATGAAGGAGCAGCGGGTGCGCTACCTGTCCAACGCCAGCACCCTCGCCAGCTTTTCGGAGCCAGGCAGCTGCTACGATGAACTCCTTAAGTACCTGGTTTACATTGCCCGTAAAGGAAGTAAGCAGCTTGTGGAGGTCTACCGGGTGGCAGGCGTGAGGATGGGCTTCCTCACCAGCCCTGCGAGCAAGGCGGGGGCCAACCGGCACGCCGGGAAGCGCCGGAGCAGGAAGAGGTCCTCTGTGCACCACCTCATCCACCACCATCACCACCACCA